GCTGTTATAACAACAACAACAACACTTAAGAGTCAATTTGTGAGACACTTTAGATGACATTTTGTGTTGCATGCGCCCAGGGAATTGTCAAGCAGCTTACCAAAATGTTTTAGAGATATGTAATTCGTAAGTGGCAGAGAAATTTTCTAATGCGCTTGTAATTGTTCCAAATTTGAGTTTTTAACAACTTTTATATAGAGTACTTAAAGCTGTAAGTGCATAATTATAGCCCTATAAAATACTTAAGAGCTAAATACGAGCTGTGTGTGGATAGTTGGAGATATGTTTTTGCATTAAATCTAAACTTTGCTACACATTTCGCCAGTTGAACTTTTCATTGTAATATACTAGATGAAGCTGGGATATAACAAAAACAATATTATTATTATATTCTAAACAAGTTCTTTTTTGAAATAGCACCAAGTATATCTAAAGGTCTCATCAATCAATATCTTTAAGACAATCCGGAAAGCATATAAATATAGCTCAGTATAGACTTCTTTATTTTGTAAAAATATATTATATACCACAGCTTGGAGAGCTACACACGTTAGAACTTTAGCAGCAATATTTCAACTTCAGTAAATTTAAAACTTTACATCCTCCAGCATTTGAAATCCAATCACCTGGTCGCTGCCCACGCTGCAACTCTATAAATCGAGACAAACCTCAGCACATGCAGCAATTGATGTCAGTCCCATTGATTTATGACAACATAAAAATTTGAGACACAAACACACGCAATAAGCAATAGGGGGAATTGGAAACTCTAAAGACAGACGCAGGCGTAAAAGTGTGAAAACTCATTAAATGCACACAAATTGTTTATAGACGAAACGTTTAACCGATGCGTGCGATGGCAAACGACATGGGAACTGCCGCGATGCCGCCCACGCACAACAACAAGAAAGAGACACTCGGATTCCATGGAAGCTCATTCTCAAGCGCTTAGCATGTGGGGCAACTGCATAATGCCCAAGACGCATTCATCAGTCAAATGGGTAGACAGCAGTCCAGACAATCGTCTGGCCAATGAGTCAGTAGTCGCTGGTCGGGGTACTCGGGAGCTGCCTCCCCGTCAGTGGGTTAAGTTAGACGTTTTGTGCAAGTCATGAGCGGCGTTTGTGTGGGGAGGAGAAAAACTCACTCAAATGTTGGCGTTGCATTCAATTTACTACAGACAATTGATTGTTTTCCCTTTTTTCCATCCATTTTTTGTTGTTGCCGCAAGCAACAAAATCAACACAAATTAAAAACGATTATCAATATGTCTAGCCTGTCAGGCGGCTCAGGGGGTGGCATCCCATTCATACATATATGTATATATGTGTTAGCGGTCGGGCTGGGAAGTTCAAGCCGCGAGCGCGCGAAAAGCTAACAAAAAACGCAAAGGGCCACAGACAAACAAAGCGTATAACAATAACAACAACAACAACAAATGCTGACTGATAAATGGGCAGCCAAAAACAGCCAAGTTGGAAAAATAGACAACAAAAAAGCTGAGGGTGGCCGCAGCAGGGCCGTCGGGGGCGTGTAGGTTACTAGTCATCTCTGGGGCACACTTCAATGTTGTTATTGCTGCAATTGTTATTTTTACGCTACTACCATGGGGTACAATCGATTTCTCTCTTTGTTGTATAAACATTTGTTGTGGGTCAAACTCATTGAATGCCAAGTGTTATGCAGTTCTTAGAAAAATATTTATATTCATTACTTTTAGGCTTTACAGAAATTATTTCCTGTCCAATATGGCTTTACTGCATGGTAAAACGTTTTTAAATCTATATAAATCTCTACATTTTTATGACGGACCTTAGCTTTGACAGCATATATAATATATTTTATAATACAGTTCGCTTTTTGTTTGAATATAATAACAAATAATTTAAAGAATTATATTTAAAACAATGTTAACAATGAAAAATGATATTTTACCATTTTCATCAGATTTCATAGTGTATTTCTGCTTCAGCGTTTCGTTCAAATTTTTCCTACTTAATTTTAGAGCTACAGCTCCAGCTGGTTGTTGTTGTTGCACCGTCGGCCACACGCCTCAATGCAATTTGGAGAAATATGTTGAGGGTCCATCCAGGCTGTTTGTAGAGGGTGTGAGCTGTGTGGAGTGTACCGTAAACGATGCCCCAACAGAGCTCAACAATGTAAACAAAATGTTTCGTAAAATAAATAGTTTTCAAAACCATTAAAATCAAGAAAAGGAAAAAAGAAGGCCAAGAACAACAAGACCGAATAAATTTTTGGAAGCCGTGAAGCTGCGATGAGTGGGTCTGTGGGCCTTAAAGACCCAGGCGCGAAGTTTGCGGCATTAAGTTTTCAACATGCTCAGCAAATTGTTTAATGGCCGTGCACACCCCGTTTGCCGTAGACTCCGCCGGCACCTAGAAACACGATGCCGTAGAAAAATATACGGTATAAACAGAAATGCCAGAGATGAACTTTTTTTTTTTTTGTCTGTGCAAGCAAATTGAAAACTAGCAAACAGAAATAACTCGACATGAAACTTTAGAGACATGTGTTATTAGCCAGAAAATACATGAGCTTGGTGTGAGGCAAAAGAGATGCCAGCCAGCCCGGGCGACATGCATAAATATTTGATGTAAATTGAAAAGTGCATGCAACATACATTATTTTTCTGGCAACCTTCGGGCAGGCAAACGTATATGAATAAAGATACAGAAATAAATATGTGCATATATATATTTATATAAAGGCAGAGGCAGAGTTGTACGACAAGCAAATCAGCAATAACAAACAGACAAACAAACAACAGCTGAAGCAAAAGTTTAGCTAAAGTATTTATGCCACAGAACGGCAAGCAGTCACAGAGTTTGCTGCGGTCGCTGGCGGGGGTCACATGAACAATTGAGAAGGAAATTAAACAAGTTTGCCTAACGAAGAAAGAAAAGTTTTTTGCGCGCCTTAAAGTATGCAGCAATCCACGCAAACAAACAGCAGCCACATTAAAAAAAAACTTCTGCCTAAGCGACATTGCAACCAACGAGTGGTAAGAGCAGGAGCAGCAGTTGCTGCTGTGGCAAGGGGGTTTAGCATTGTCATGCTGTGCCCCCTAGTTGAAGCACGTTGCGGTGCTGCTTGCTGACTCTGAAACTCTCCCGTTCTCTCGCTTGCTCTTGTTACGACCAGGCTAAACTTTTTGAATCAATTTAAGTTCTGACATTTTAATGATAAATTTGTAACAGAGGCAAAAAACAAGGCCAAGAATGCGCCCAGACATTGTTGTTGGCCTGTCTAACAGCTTTCAGTTACCAGTTGCCAGTTTCCTTCCTAACTGATGCTGTTTATTCTTGCTGGCTACATTGTATTCTGCTGTGGCTGAGTTAGAAAAATGTTCTTTTTGAATTATTGCAAGTCTCTTGAAGTGGTTTCTGATGCCAGCTGTTGGAAAACTTTCACCTACATAAGTGATATATATATGGCAAAAATGATAAACTAAGCCCAGCGCTGTCTAAAAAGTGTTATGGCTGTAATATTTTTGTTTAAATTAATACATTGCCTTGGTAGTTCTCAACCTGAAACCATTACAAATGTAACTGTTTACATATTTTGGATAATCCGCATTGTATCCAGACAAAAGTTCAAGCTTGCCAAAATAAAAATCTCCCAAACTTTCTGTTCGGTTTTATCATCCTATTTTAGGCTGGCTGCGTTCCTGCGTTCCTGGCGCACACGTGTTGGCAAACGTTTATAGAGACCACAAGAGCTGGGCAAATATTGTTGCTCATCCAAGCCCCATTATTGACTCATTTAGTTGGGCCATAAAGCGCCGGAAAGTATGTTGTCATTATTTCGCCGACAGCCGCAGCCATTTGCAATTAAAGTAAGCCACATATGCAGTTAATGGCTAAATGTACACACACGCACACACATAGATGCACACCCAGATACAGATATACACCCCAAATTACAAACTTTGTATCTATAGGCAAACGTTTGCGGCTTCCCTTTATTTGCAGGTTTATCAGCATTTTGTTTACTTTACATTCGAGATGCCAACAAAATGAATTGACAACTGTCAACAACTTTATAGATAGCAAAGACTGCTGTTTGTGGCTGTTGGAGGGGGCGTTGGCTAAGTCTTTTGATATGAAATGTAAACTGAGCGTGCCATCAATTAGTTTTGAAAGATAAATTAAAATTGAAAATTGAGAAAAGCTCTAATTGATGGCTATTCAATGCTCTTACAAAGAAATTTTGTGCTTAAAAGTTGCTGGTATACTGTGATGAAAATATTGATATAGATAAGAATCATGTTCTTACTTGTTATCTCTATTGAGCGCTGTTTCTTGCTCTCTTCCGTTCTCTCTCTCCCTCTCTCGCGATATCTCTCTCTCTCTCTCTCTCTCCCTCTCTCGCGATCTCTCTCTCTCTCTCTCTCTCTCTCTCTCTCTCTCTCTCTCTCTCTCTCGGTCTCTCTCGGTCTCTCTCGCTCTCTCTCACTCTCTCTGTCTCTCTCTCTCTTTCTTTCCGTCGCTCTAGCTTATTTCCTTACTAGGTATTTCTCTATTTTTGTAACTACCATTTTCGTCCCTCTGTCTCTTGCTCTCTCTCTATCTATCTTTGATCTCCCTTCCCTTTCTCTCTTTGCTCCCTCTCCCTTTCTCTCTTAGCTCTCTCTCTTTTCTTCTCGCTTACCCTCTTTATCACTAGGGTACTCTCTCACACTTTTACTCCGACTACTATCTATCTTTATTCCTTTTCAATGGCGCCTTTCTCTGCGATTTTCAAAATTTTATGTAAGGAAAACAAATATATTGATATTCTCATTAAGTGCTTTATCTCATTCAAGAGTTTTATTTTAGTAAGAAATTGGCCCTTTGCTCAATTCCACCTGCACTTTACACCTAGCATAACAAACATAATTAAGTAGTTGCAGCTCCCTCTTGAATAACAAAGCACTTGCTATTTGTTTACTAGTTAGAAAAAAAGTATTTATTTAATGTGTTTCCATTTAATTTTTGCAGATAAGACGGCCCAGTCAATGTCTGATAGTGCAGCAACTGAAAGTGGGTCTCTCATATGACTGATAATGGCAGTCAACGCTGCCTGCTACAGCAACAACAAAAACAACAACAACGACAGCAGCAGCAGCAACAACAACAAGGGAAACGGTAGCAGTTACGATGGCCAAACAAAATGAATATTTGAAAATTTGGAAACATATCAAATGGCGAATTGAAAAGTGAAACCAAAATCGAAAAGTGAAAGGAAAAGAGAAATTCCACAAAAGAAAAAGACAAGAAAACAATTAATAAATTTTATACGCCGGGTACTTAAAAATTGTTGAAATTAACAAGTGCCATACGCGAGTGTTGAAATCGAGTTTACATAGATATAGTTCTAGAACCTATTTCAGCTTACGAATAACACATATCCCAAAAGCAACGCTGCCAATTAAAGAGCAATCCATAAATATATATATTAATATATATAGACTTGTAGTTAACACCACCGAGCGGAAGTCCAACAACAATATGACAATATCAGCAACAGCAGCAGCAGCAGCAAGAACAACAACATCTACACCAGCAACAGGAACAGCATCAACAATAATACACAACATTGCAAATCGCTTGCCTGGCAAATCGCTGAAATATGAAAAACTCATTAAACAGCCGCAAATGCAGTCGGGCACGACGAGCGTGACCGGCACCCAAACGGATGCGGATGCGGATGCCAATGGTCTTGGGACTGCGGACCCATTCGCCGATTGCGGCCATCTCAATAAGCATTTTGGCAATGGCCATGCCACGCCCCCTGACCTGCATACAACCAACATCACAACAGATCGCAGCATGCTGCTGCCGCCGGAGCATACAGGCAACGGTTTTCTGGCCAGCGGCATTGTCACGTACAAGGCGAAAACGAATGGCGGCAACTACGACTTCAACTCTACCTCATCAACGACTATTGGCAGTGTGAGCGGTGGTGGAGGTGGCGGCGGTAGTGGTGCTGGTGGTGCCGGCTCATCCATTGCGAGTTCGCTTTGCCATTGTTGTAATTTAATTGCACGCCGCTGCATTGGCATCAATGTGCGACGCTGTGTCGTGGCGCTGTTTGCCATCACCGTGGTCAGCATTTTCTACTACACGCACTACGTGGGCACCGACGTGTTCGATGGGTGAGTAGCCAGTCCAATTTCTAAAAACCGCACTGTCTGACCCAACAATCTCCGTGCCCCCAAAGCGAAAACCATTTTTATTGTGCTCGAGTGCGGATGGATGCGGATGAGGATGTGGATATGAATGCACTTCCATCTCGGCATTTGCAGTAGTGCCTCCGCTTCTCTGTTTGTTGTCTGAGCAATTGCTTTAATTTTATTTTTATTTTTTTAATTCTGCAAAAGAGACGCCCGGGAATTCTTTTCAATATGCTGTACATTTGATTAACAGGTGAATGCGCCTTGCAAGCACTGGTTGGCGTATTTTCAGTTCATTTGTTTCCTCTTGATTTTCATTCCATTCTGTTCATGACGTTTTGTGTGGCGCTTGAAAGTTGCAATTGCACAACAAAGCAAAGAAATTGTGCAAAATTATTAATGGAAAATGTTGTTTGGCTTTGCAATTGCGGGTGAAGACCTGAAACAAAGGAGACTTAAACATCTTAAGACTACCTTAAGAAATGTTTCATCTTCATTACTTAGGTTGCGTTTGCTTGCTAACAAAGTCTTAGGTTTAAACAGGGGGAGCAGGAGAAGATTAACTTGCTGCAGTTTCTAAGAGATTAACATATTCGTGCCAAATTAAGCTGATTTTTTTCTTCTATTTTTTGTATTCAGAAGCAAAGCACTTATTGACAATTCTTGTGATATTTCTAATGTTACCTGAGCAACTTTTGACCTTTGAATCCTCTTAAAGCTGTCGATTTGTCAGTGATTCACAATTAGTTTGACTCCATTTACGACCCAAATACAAAACACAATCTTAATACATCCTAAAAACCTTTGAAGAATAAAAATCTATATATATATATTGTTTTGTATTTCATGTCCACTTTAATCCCTTTTTAGTTTTAATACATCAGCTTTTGTGCACTGCAGCCTTCTCTGCGCTACTCATTTCGTCGAAGTGGTCGCTTAGGGCTTAAAAACGTTTCACGTTTGTTTTAATCTTTTATAGATAAAACTTGTTAAGGTGTAATTCCACTTGCGTGTACTATTCAGTGCAGCTAAAACTTTTAACTAGTGAGTTTTTCTTTTGTTTCCCAGCAAAATCATCAACGATTTTTATGTGACTTGTTTTTAAAGTTTCACCCTCAACGTTCCCCCCTTCGACACAGTCGACCCACGGAAGTTTACACCTTTGGTTAACTCAGTACTCGAGAACTTATTAAAAGTTCGTGCTGTTTGCAGGCACGTAGCTATTTCGGGATTGGATAAAAATACTCGTATTTCTCATAAATTATAATTGCGCGCATAACTAAGAAAAGAAAAGACTGTAAAAAGGTTTTTCGGTCTTTATTTTTCGCACAATTTTTCCCCTTTATTTGTGGCTTGGCGCTTATTTTGTATTTTAATTTGTGAAATTTTTGCACAGCTGGGGGGCGTGGCAGTTGGCCTTACTTGCCCGTTAGCTACTTTTGCGCGCAATTATGGTTAACAAACATTTGGAGGGAAAAGCCCCCGCAGCCCCTGAGTAACAGCAAAGTGCAACACGCCTGCAGTTGCACAAACAACGGACAAAGTTTTGATTACTTTCATCAGTAAGTGAAGCAGCAGCAGGAGCAGCAGCAGTAGCAGTGGCTGCAGGTGCTGCCGAGTCCTTGACTTGGTTTTTAGTGAAATTTTTGCATGCAAACTCTTCGTTCTTGATTCAAAAACTTATTTGTTTTGCCCAAAGCCAGTTGATTATTAAATATTTACTTGGCTAGTGCACTTTAAATTTAATTTACGAGCTTAACTGCGGCAAAGTTCATTAGTTATTCGAGTGGGCGCCATCCATCAGAGAGTTAACCCAGCACAACTTACAGACCAGAGCAGCAGGGCAAAGCAGCAGCTGCACAAAGGATGTGGCAATTAAAGATTCTCAAGTCAAACTACATGTGTGTAAATTCTAGTAAATTTTAATGAATTCAAATGCTTTCGATTCTCTGCTGTGTGTGTGTGCGTGTGCGTATATCCTGTGTGTCCATGTCCATACGTCCGTTACGTGCAAAAAGCGGAAACATGCGACGTGCCAGCCGCTGCCAATGCCGCCTGCTCTCTGTGGTTGGCCCCCGGCGACAGGCAGCCGCCAGTCACTGATGTTCGTGTTTGTTTATGCTGTCTGTCATTATTTGCACACACTCACACACACACGCACACACACGACCCACCATGCATTTACATATGCAGCAACTACTTTGTTCTATACTGTTGTTTTTGTTGCTCTTGCAGCTGTCGTTGTAGGTGCAAAACGCATTTTGCCCAAATGCAAACCTACGTGATTTGCATGCAGTCATAACACGAACTGACATACACACACACACATACGCACAGTCGCCTGACAGGCTGCAATAATTGATTTGTAATGCTTACCATGTAAAATAGCCGACAAAAATGTCCACAACGTTATGTCTCTTAGAAAATTACAAATATGTGATGGAATTTTCAAAAATGGTCTTAAAATTGCCAAAAGTAACGTAAAATTGTAAATCTGTCGAAATAAATCCAATGGAATCTTATTTAAAGATTGATACATAAACGTGAACCCAAAGAAAATTTGAATACACATGTCCTATAAATCTTTTACTGTAGAGACAAAAGTGTCTACTAACTACCATTATTGGCTTCTATATAAATATATATATATATATATATTTTAAATAGCTTATCAAATTCCGTATCTCAATTATACTTTAATTGTGAGCAATTACTACAGTCGATACTCCTTTTAATCAATTTTTATTTAATTGCGTAGATTTTCTTTTTTATTTGTCGCCTGTAAACATGGCATATAATCAGTTCACCTGGGTATATATAAAGTTGGATGCGTTATTTGCTTTGCGTGTTAAGTGCGATAAATACAATTTGATGTTCGAGCTTTGCAGCTACAAATGAAGGCCTACGCGGCGCTTGAGAGTGGGGCATAGAAGGCGTGTCACAGCCTTAAACATTAACTAAATGCAACACTAAATACGCGTTTGCCTCTTGATAATAAACACATAAATTACTCTGCCATTTCTGTGAATTGAGCAAATATTTAACTACACAGCCTAACTGCGGTGTGCGCGTGTGTGTGTGTGTGTGTGCGCGCGTGTGTGTGTGTGCGTGTGAGTTGTGTGCAACATGACGTATGCGTCATAAAATCCACGTTGCGTGCATTAATTGACTAAACATTTAAATTGAAAATGCGATTATAAATGACAATTGCCACAGGGCTTAAGAGCGTGCGTGTGTATGTGTGTATTGAAAAAGTGATTACATATGCCAGGTGCAGGCAGCAACAATAATAACAGCAACAACTGCGCCCCCATTAGCAAGCGCTTGCGGATGACTTTCATTAAACCAGAGCCAAAGTGCTGGTCCAGTGGTTCAGCCTCGTGTCAACTGTCGGTGAATGACAATAAATAATTACGTTTATTTGCTTTAAATGCAATTACAAACAAACAAACAGACGGAGGACTCGATCCGGTTTCGTGTCCTTTTGCTGGCCGTTTTGCATATCCTGACGCATCATGGTGGCCGTTGTCGCCACACTGGCCCCCATTTTGCCCAGAACGCGTTTACAGTTCATTTGGCCAACTGCGCTGCCAGCTTGCCGCAGCCAACGGCCTCTGCTGGCATTTTCCCACTCATTTCCGTTGCAATCCAATTGAACTTGGCTTGCTTGATTTATTTAATTAACATTTATTTTTTGTTCTCAATTTTTTCTTTTCGGCGAATGCCAATAAAATTGGCCGTGTCTGTACCGCATACGCTTTTTTATATTTAAGCATTGGTGCTTTATCAATTGCTTGAGCTTCGCCTTTCTTTGTGCTTTCCATTGTGTTTAAGTGGCTGCAGTTTTCCTTTATTGGGCAGAGTAAGGAAGAGTAAAGAGTAAAAAGGAAGAAAATGACTTACTAGTGAAGCCATAGCATATTGAAGTGCCATTTATGTGAATCATGGGCACAACTCAAGTGTCTTTCAGAAGAATTAACTTTCATTTTATTTTACAGAAAAAAATTTAAAATTTGATGTTCATAATATTATTTTCTTTTCTGCTTTCCTTATAAAAAATCAAGGGCAAAGTTATTCAATTACATATGCAAAGCTTTAACTTTTCGTTGTTAAAATTTCTCAATATGCTAACTCTTAAATTTCTTTCTAGAATGACATTTTTACCTCATTTCAAATGTGGTTTCAAGCGAAGCGCTTATTGAAATGTCGCCTCTCTTTGCGCTTCTCAATTTATACAAATGGTCGCATTGTCTTTGTATTCTATTCCCATTTTTGCATTCACCGCGCTGCTTTTTGCTTTTTGTATATTTCAGTCATTTTTTCTCAGTTCAGGGGGGGGTGTCTTCTCTGATAGCTATAGCGCACATATCCTTGCGCTAGTTTCCCCCTTTTTATTATGCTACGTTATCCCAGCTGCATTACGTATGCGCTCCGTTGGCCGCGTCGCACTTTGCGGCTGCTGCATTTGCTACTTTGCAAATTTATTACAAATTTTTACATACGATTTATTGTTTGAGCGTGCCGCCCTTTCTCAGAGGGACTGGGGCGGTTTTCTATTATGCTCGAGGCGTGGCTATGACTGTGGCCTTAAAGCTGGCCACATAAAATGTTACTGAATTGTGTGCCCCTCGGTGCTGTTCTGAGTGGGTGGACAAGTGTGTGGGTTTATGTGCTCACGGATTTCAATAAAAGCTGCTCGTATGGTCTCTTAAACTTGACTAATAAGCTTTGGCCATGATGATTGCAGCCGCGTGTTATTTCAGTTGCTGCTCCGTTGACAGTGCAACATTTGCGTGTTGCTGCCCTGCCAAGTTTGTTGCACGCTCGCATAAATAACACGTGCATAAACTGACTTTTTCTTGCCTAATTTATGCAACACAAAAGACGAAACTTGCGCCACACCCAACAGCTCTCCCCTGTCTGTTATAGCACACGGCCAAGCGAAAGAAACGGAAACGGAAATTTTGTGCTGTGCACAAATAAATCAGCGAACAGCGTCTGAAAACAGGCCAGGTTGAGCTGACTGTTTGGCCGTTTCGGCCGCCTGTCTGCTTGGCTCGCCTGCTGGCATGCCACGCAAATGTTGCACGAAATGCAAACAAGGCATTGCAACAAGAATTTCTTCATCATCATTGTGCAGCACGGCACCAAAGAGCCCATAGCCAAAAGGCTCTTAAAAAGTAAATGCTGAGAGGTTTATTTTTCCTGTCTAGTGACATATAGAATGCCCTGCAAAACATTTAGCTGCATCGAATAACAAAAGTACACTATTTGTAGCTGACGAGCATATTTTCAAGTGGTCTGATCTTATTAAAAATAAGTTTTAGGGCAAGAGCTCATTAATTCTCAAAAGCTTTTGAATTTCTCTGAAAAACTTTATTCCGCAAACTCAGTTAAGCAAGCTTTAGGCTAAAAGCATTGTAGCTATAGAAATACTTTTTGGTTTCTCTACCATATTTTTTGCATTTTTTTTATAACTCATTTCACAAAAAGTAGACAAAGTTTGTGAAAACAAAATAGATGCTTTACATGCTCACATTTGGTAGTCAATTGGTAAAGTTTATTATATCTAACATCTGCTTAAGTCGAGTTCTCCTCAGGCAGTTGCCAAATGCCTGCTTGATTTATAGCTTCTAAAATGTCTTATGTTGCACCTGCACGAGCTCAATTGTGCAAGGTGAGATTATAGGGTATTTCGAAAAGAAAACTTTTTGTCTGACATTTTTGGGTGCGCTCTATTTATACATATTTGTACACTCCATGTGGGTGTGTGAGCTGTTCCGTGTGTGTGTGTGTATGCGAGTATTTGCTATCTAAATATTTTGTTTTGCCAGCGCCAAAGTTTTGCCAGCTTTGCCAGTGGAGGTCCTGCAACGGGGCCATGTTGCTTGCTGCCAGGTTCGTTTTGTCCTTCCACTTTGCCGCATGCTAAAAGTATTTACATTTTTCATTCCGAGAACTAGCAGGCAGGCAGGCAGGCCTCTTCTGGCCAAAACGGATGCTTGGCCAAATGCCTTTGCAATGCATTTGGGCTTGGCCTAATAGGTTTTTGTTAATTTTGGGGGATTTCACTTGAAATGGGCTCAAAGGGCTCCAACACATGTTGCCGCTTTTGCTGAACGCTGCCTGTTGTCGTTTCAGTGTCCGCAGCTTGGGAAGTGGCTAGAGCCAAGTTGCAGTATATGTGAAAATTGCATAAGACCCATATAATAAAATGCTTTACCGCTGCCAAATGGATTAAAAATGAAATAGAAAAGTTGCCCAGGTCAAAGGTGAGGCCAGAGTTGGACTATGAGTTAGTTGGAAAAGTACTGAATACCGGCAAAAACTTTTGCCTCACAATTCTAACCGAATGGATAAAGTTTAAGCTCATGCATGAATGTGCCCACACCAACTTTTTGCCCTCTTAGACGACAGCTCAGTTTCAAGCTTGTTGTTGGCTTGTTAATGAGCCCCATTGGCGCCTCCAAAGCGCGCAACGCAGCGAAAACAATGCAAATGAAGATATGTACACCGCACGGCAACAACAACAATAATAACAACAATAACAATAATAACAACAATAACAATGTTGCCTTATTGTATTGGCAGCAGCTGCTTTTGTTTCTTTGTCTTTGGCTGTCGCAGTTCGCATATTGCGTATACGCAGCGTTGCCGCGCCTTTCAATTCGCCTGCCAGCCTGCAGCAGGAAACTTGCCTCATATTATTTGTGCAACCAATTTCTCGTTCTTCTTGCTGCTGCTACTGCTGCTGCTCTTGCATTATATTCGCTTGTTTGCCGTGCGGTTTTCCTTAAGCTTTTGCAAAGAAGGCTGCTTTACCATCAGCGAAATGTGGCATAAGCTGTGCGGTGGCTTTTGTCTATATATCAGGCAAATGCTGTGGAAAATATGAGATGTAATATATATAACATACTTGGCAGCATTAACTAATAGTTCTTTCTCTCTATTTTTTTTCAGGCTTATTCAGCGTGATACTCATCCGGCGCCCATCATCAACTGCCGAATGATAAACTCAGCTGGCAAACACATACGTGACGCCTCACCAGCGCCCGATCATCGTTCCGAGGCACGTCTACGCATCGATCCCAAGGTGTTGGTTTTTGTGGAGACAACGTACTCTGGTCTGGGTCGGGACATTGCCGAGTTGCTGGTCTACAATCGGATCAAGTAAGTGCCATCAAAGAGGAACCATAGACAATTAGCTACGACAAATTTGCATAATTGCGAAAGGCAACGATGCAATTATTACGCCAAAAGTAACTGCAAGCGGAAGTGCCAGCGTAACCGACACCAGAAATGAATTGTGAATGCAGCTAAGTGCCAAGTGGCCGGAGCACCAGCTGGGACAGGATGCCAGACGGCTAGCCCAAGCTGCCATCTATCTCAGCTGCCTGCAGCGCTCTCTCTTTGTGTCCGTCGGTCTCTTCCCCTTGCGTCTCTGGCTATTGTCAATGTTGACCCAATTTGGGCAGCTGGCCATAAAAAGGCAGGTTATGAAATTAATGCCGTTCTCTGTGCACCTCTCTCTGGCAACCGGAGGGGCAAGCAAAGCATTCGAGTTTAATTGGCAACTTATGCTTTTGTGGTCGAGTGGCCCCCAGCCTTCAGCTTTTCGGGCAACCGGAAGCCACAAGCGTCATGTCTCTTTTTTAGTCCTTACGTCCAACCTGCACCTGCTCCAGGTTGTGCTGCCCACTCAGCAATTTTGTTTGGCAGCGCTTAACTGATGTGTCATACTCTGACATACTTGAGGTTCAACCAGCTGCTCCCTGAAGCTGACGTAGCTGAAAACTCAAGATCAGCGCAGCTAGATGTGCCCAATAGTTATGGAATCATTCAGAGCATTAGAAGTTTATAATATTTCCACTACTTTTATTTTTTATCGCATTGGGACCAGCTTTTAGTTTGGTTTTGAATAAGCTGCCTGTTGGACAAGTTCTGATTATATGTACTTGTGCCTGGCAAGAGCTAGAAGGAGCGTAGCTTAACTATTTGTAAACCCATTGTTAAAAACATGTAAGCTTTGTTTTATGCTATTATTCCAATTACAGCAGCATCCCCTCAACCCACTGCTCAGCTGCAGTCCGCCTCTGTTGCTTGACAGGCACAAAAAGCAATTCCTTAGTCCGGGCATGCTTTGTGTATCCTGCTGGCCGCAGTGACCGCAGGAAGCAGCCTCCTGCGAATCCGCAATTATACAACATGCCGGGTAGCTGGGTGAGGTGAGGATGTGCTGAGGATTCGTGGGAGTTGCCATGACGTTGCCATACCAACTTTTCAATAACGTTTTATTCTATTTTATTTCCTTTTATTTTCACACTTTCGACTTTGAGCACGAGAAATTAAGGGCACGTGTGCAAATTGCGGTTATAAGGCACTAGAGAAGCTAAAAGCTAAAACTGTAGCTGCCGCCTTGCCCTGGGCGGAGTCACAAGTCAAAAGGCTAAAAAATTTTCAATTTGCTGCTGCCTTTTGTTGATGTTGTCGGTACTTTCTCTCTACAGCTACCCACAGTTCAACAGCTTTGACTTGCTTTGTGTTATATAATTAAATTTTCGTCGTTATGCCAAACTAGCTTCAAGGATGCCTCTGCCGATGTCAGGCAACTGCTTCAGCTCTAATGAGATTTCAAGTACAAATAGCAAGACTCAACCCAAAGTCACTCAGTTAGTCAGTCGCACCGCCCCTTCGCCTTACCCCATTTCACGAACAATTGTCTCTCGCCCATTGTCTGAACGCGCTATAACCGAATATGCAACAACGAGTCTTGCTGCTTCAAAAGCTAATCAGTGCGCTCATGTGTGTGTGACTCTCTGTGTGTGTGTGTGTGTGTGTGACTTGTTGTGCGCTTATCAATGACTTCATTAGAGCTCTTGACTTCAGGCAGCGCCAGAACTCGCCTCTGTTTGGTTGCAAAACTTTGCCAAAGCTGGCAACAAATTTCATTAACATTACCATCTCATTACAGTTGATGATTTCTCTCTGTGTGCAGCAGTGTGTGTGTGTGTGTATGTGTGTTTGAGTGGGTGGGTGGTTGTGTGTCTGAAGTGCCAGCAGCGTCATATGCATAGCAGAAGCAGCCCTTACAATGCGGCAGTATGAGTTTCTTGCCACACACACACATGCACACTCGCAAGCAATCAGCGCTGTGTCCAGGCTGCTGCATTGCCATATTTTATGCGCGCTTGTGTCTGTGTGCGTGCGGGTGTGTGCGTGCTTGTTGCAGGTGCTGCAATGCTTCTACTTAATTATCAATTATTTATCTGCGCGCCAGCAAATTGCGCCCAAGTTGCCACTCAATTAGCCATGAAAAATTCACTCGCTGACTTTCACGTGTGTGACGCACGCTGTGGCATGCTTCCTGCCATTGCCACTCACTAGCTCGTTTTCAACTATTACACATAAAGAGCTGGCTGTGCATCCTGTCCGGCTAATTGTTGCAAGCTCTGTCTCATACCACACACCTCTGTCACACTTGGCTGCCGGGCGCTTTGTGTGCGCTCTCTCCCCCTCACTCTATCTCTCTCCCTTTTTTCTCGTCCTGTCTTTCTCCCTCTGCCCACTGTTCCAATTAGCTGTAGCCAAAAACCTGACGTTGGCCCAATTGATTGATTGCCAAGTTTTGCCAGGCTGCTGCCTGCCTGCCTGCTTTTACCTTCTCTCTCTCGCTCCCTTTCTCTTTGTGCCTCTGTTCCTTCGTCTCATTCATGCTCCCATTCCCAATTTTGTGCTTGAGCAGCGTAGACAAATGGCATTGCCTCGCAGCAAAATGGCTGCCAGCCCCCAAAAAGTATGCAAAACTTTTGCAAAGTTTTTACGCCCGAAAGGTCCGCCCGTCCAGTAGGGTCTACGCGTCGGCCTTTAAGTGCCCCAACAGAATTAACACGCCAAGATGGCTGCTGCTGCTGCCAATGTTGGCATCTAATGCGCCGTGAAATTCTAATGGAATTTCCTAGGTAATTACGCGACTACCAGCCAAAATAGAAAAAAAGGCGGCATCGTTGTGCGTTTATTAAATTGCCGTTGGCACGCCCACAGTGGCATGCCACACGCTGGCTGGCTCAGCATTTTGCGAATAATAGCTACTTAACCTTATTTTCAATTTTTGATTCGGCTTTGTGCTTTCTGCACGCACCCCGCACCCCGTCGCGTCGCTCTGCTAATAAAATCAGTCAGTGAGCCGACGTAACAGCTGGAACCAAGTCAGCAAGCAGCAGGAGCCAAGTCAGCACACGGAAGTCATCAGCAGCCTTGTTATCATTGGCCTGCCATGCTCGCAGGAGCCAGCCCGCCCGCCCCACCATTTGCTCACTCACATGTGCTCCTCTGTGGGCCAGAATAATATAGCGTGCTTTGCGGCGCTGCCAAAGAACCGGCGTTCATCCTTTTGGCTGGTTTCGTTTGGCGCTGATTGCGCCACTGGGAGCGCCCAACTTTTAAAACGCGAAATGGCAAATGGCGAAAGGCAGCAGCAACCAGCCAACAACAACAACAACAACAACAACAACAACAGCACCAGCAGCCGAGTCAGTCCCTTCTTCTATGCGCTGACGTCAATTTACAGACACATGGCAAACGCCATAAACAGCCACCACAATTGGAAGCTTGCCACGGCAACAGCACGCGACTTGGCTGCTTGCTGCTTGTGCTGCCTCCGCCTATTACCCCTCTGCTGGCCCGTTTCAGATGGCAGCTGCCACAGCTCCTTGGCTCGTCATAATCACACCCTTTTGCGTCAATGTTTACTTTAATAATGTCGCGGAAAATTTTTATTTTCAATTTTTCACAAGTCAATGGAGTTAACCTGCCACATTTGATGGCACAGTGGAGCAAATTCACGAATTAGTGCAGACAAATGTGAATTTTTTATAGCTTTGCAGATTATAATTTGTTCTATAATTTGAAGGAGACTCGCTTATATAGTGTATATTTAAGCTAGATGTCATGGGATCAGTTATTTGATAGTTATGATGAAAAACGTTATATATATTTCTCAACTTGGCATTTGACATGTTTTCCACATATGTGTAAAATCTTATCAACTCTAGATTACTATATTATATAGCTATATCGAAAAAATTGGGTTAAAACTTTTCTGCTTTTCTAGAAAACTTGTTAGTAATAACGATCTACACATATCGCTTAATATATCTGCTAAACTCTATAGGATCGGAATACTCCTTTATAGCATACTATAGTTAACATTCATCGGAAATAAAGCTTTTGTATAAAGGTCTTCCCTACAAGGGCATTTAATGTATCGCCTGGCTTCTCTTTCTTGTTCTGCATACTCAAGGATAACATTTTCTTTTCCCATTGTCACATTTGCTGCCATATATATAAATATGTGTTCCACTATGCCCTGTCGCACTGGCAACGACAATGTAGAACTGGAGGTCGACCCCTAGCAAATATGGCTATACAATATAGTCCATATATATAGGTTCAGTGCATGTGTGTGTGTGTTTCGTATAAATAAAAAATATTTTGCTCTAGTGCTTGGTACGTGGCTGCTGTCGCAGCTATTCTCAGATTGCTGCCTCATCCTTGGATCCTTGCCCCCGCCACACGCCCGCCCTTCTTGTTGTGTGACAAGTTGGCTTGGCTGACTTTTGTGCGTTGTGTGTTGCCGCTTGTTGTTATTTTGCAACAAATTGGTTATTTTATTGAATTACTCAAGCAGCAGGACGTGTCCCCTACCTCCCCTTCTGCACCAATTCCCCCTATATGTATTACCTATACCCCTATCCAAGCCTAGCGTATCGAAACTGTACCTCTAGCCCTTGCCACCGCCGCTTTTTGTGATTATATTGGCCCAAGCATGGGGCGTTGAGGGAGTCGCTAAGTCGCGACTTTGCCGCGAACCTCGGGATGCCACAATGTCAGGACATTGCCTTTGCGTGTCCTGGCCTAACTGCCTGCACGACTGGCTGACTTTCAGCCTGGCTGCTTGGCTATACTCTGCTATGGGTTTTGTCGTTCACTTAAGTAGTTTTGCCGCGTATAATAAATTTTCTAGTTTAAACTCATTTATTGCCCACGACTGGCTGAGCTCCTTTCTCGCCTTCTTTCTGTTCGTGTGAAGGCGTCGAGGCGTCGCCCAGCCAAGCATTGCCCATATAATGGCCATTTGTTGTATAATTTTCACATTGTTTAGTGTCCTCGGCAAAAGTAACTCTAGCTGTGTGTAGCTGCTTTGGGGCTGCTTTTATTTATGATATATAGATTGGCAGTAAAGTTGCTTAAGCAACTGCCAGTGGATAACACTGGACTTGAGTTTGGGCAGCGGTTAGTGTAAATGATGCGACTGGGGCACGTACACATAAACCAAGCTCAATAATAAGTGGCGAAATTGTGTGCCATGTTAATGGCCGAAAATGGCTTAATTCGTGCTACGAGCTGTGGCTACAAATTGGCTTAAAGGTGCAAATGCCCTCTACCTGGGCTAATACACACAACTTCGCATTGATTTCTGGCTCTTTTAAGTCATTTATATGCAAGCAGCAGGCAGCATAAATGTGGTAATATATCTACCCTCCTTTAACACTTGTTAAACATTACTTAATTACCAGAATTTATTGCAATTCGCGCGTGTTTCTATGTGCACCTGAAATGTGAAAAATTTAAATTTCAAAATGCCAGCTTACGGTGAAATAATATAGTATGGGATCAGTCTGAATATATGTACAAATCGTGAAGTATAAAAAGCTTTGCTCAGCTTTACTTAGTTTTTAATAGACCCTCAGCTTAATCTGCATTAAAAATTCAAAGCAACAAATATGTATAACAATAGAATAGAAACGGTTAAGTAGTCTATTAATAGATATCTTGATATTTAATAGCACACCTTTTGCTAGAGATAATTGAAAAGGGCTACATTCTGGGACAGAAAAGAATCTGAGCTAATGGAATGTTATATATAGAACATATTGATTTCTTTTCCTTTGAAAGCCGCATTTATTTGCCCTCCCATTACAAATGCAGCCACAGAAAAGAAGCTTAGCTAATAGAATAGAATATATCTATCGGGTATATCGATTTCTCCTGCTATTCTCAAAATTGGCTGACTCTCGTTTATTCCACACACACACACACACCTAGTCACGCAGAATTGGCGCACTTATCGGGGTTAAACTTGTGCCTCAACAGCTAACATGTTCACACAGTTATTTGCAACACGTGTCGTGTGGCACCCAAAGTGTGCTGACAATTAGAAAAGTTGCCTGTCCCCCAATGCCATATTTCCCATGGCAACGGCAAAATTTACCACCTAATTGCGACATTTCTCACAGCTAATCAGCTGAAGTTTTCGACAAAAGTTTCTTGGCACATTTTCGGCTTATGTTGCATCTGTTTATGCCGCAAAGAGAAAATCTGCCACGTTGGCCGCATTGAAGAGACATCAAGGATATCGCCGGGAAGGATACGCCATACGACATTGTGTCAGATAAAGTAAATATTGCGGATTTTTCGATTAGCGAGAAACGTTCCCTATCTCAAGCCCTGCAGCTTAATTTCCTGACGCAAATATCAACATGTCGACGGCGCCGGCGGCAACGGCGGCAAGCCAAAGAAGATGCCAAACAAGCTTGGCCCTAAAGCGCTCTAATGAAATTACAACCTAGACTGAAAGAGGGTTGGAGTGCGAGAGGGGGTTGGAGGGGCGCCTGGTGAGTTGCGGTTGTGTGCGGGACACTAGAAAGTGTAAGCCAAAGTGGCAGTGGGAAGTCAAGTAAAACTAAGCTCATTTAATGCGCTGCATAAGCGAGCGAGGAGGGGAGCGAGCGCGGAGGTGAGGTAGGCGACATTCAAGCACCTACAACGGGAAATAACTGCTGCAACAGCAACAGCAACAACAACAGCGAACAACAAACAAGCAGCTCATGACGGCATTTGCAGTTTTACGTGCATCCTGAGGATAATTTAACGCCTCGTACAAATGCAAACAAATGAGAGCGAGCTGCAACACTCACGCATTCACACACACACAGCGACACACTCATACGTGTGCTTAAAAAAACATTTATTTACTTGCAAGTAATACCCGTTAATGGGTTTTTAAAACAAATCCGCTGCGGGCCTGTAAATGAAGCTCCCGGCGCCCGGCCAGGCGCACTCTGCTCCGTTTATCTCGTCTGGCAATTAAATTTCAAATATTAACACAAGCGCATAAGTGCAAAGGAAACAAAACAAGAATGATAGAAAGAGAAAGTAAGCGTGAGAGAGCGGGAGAGAGAGAGAGAGAGAGAGAATGGCATGTGCCATTACATAGTTAATTAAACAAACATTTTGCGCTGATAAAACGTTTTAATTAATGTTCTCCTCGTGCCGACTAACGAGATGCCGTTTAAAGGGCCAACACCTTAAAAGTATGCATGCCAATACACTCACCGCGAGTCTCTTGATTATACCATTAAGCTGGAATTGGCTTAAACAAGCGTTCCAATGAACGCAATTTAAGCTGATTTGCTTAAGCTAAACTCGTCCTCCATGTTCACTTTGTTTACATATCTTCAACATTTGCCGTCAGCTTTCGCTTGAAGTTAATTAATTGTAAATGTTTGCCAAGCTAAACGTTGGACACGGCTTCATTTAAGCATTAAACTTAATTTATGCGTTTAACCTTTTATATTACAATAAATGGATTATGTCGCGCGGCGCATTCATCTAGTGTATTTCGATTGACTCGCTTCAGTTAACATTTCATTATTTTTCTTTGGCCAAGTCGACCGCTCGCTCAGCGTGCGATTTTTCAATATCCCGTCGGACAAACGCCCATTTTGAATGTGCTGCCAGCCCCCCCCCCTCGCACCACCCTGCCCCTCTGGTCCGGCCGTGCTCGGTTCTCTGCCATGTGACACATGGTCTCGTGTTGAAGCTCCATAAAATATGCAATGCATGCAGTATGTCAGCGCTGCTCGCATTTTTCATTCAGCCATAACCCGCAACCACACCCCCGCCCCACCCCGCCCCCATCATGCTCCTTACGCAACCCTGCGCCAGCCGGTTTTGGGTGTTTGCAAGGGCCCAAATGTCATTCCCTTTTCTTTTTCCTCTACATATTTTTTATTTGTCAAGCCCATTGTATGAAAAAACTATCAATAATGTGCCACGCCCACATCAACCACACCGGCATATACATATAGATGAGCATAAAATGTTTTGCCTTATGACTTTTTATGCAGAATCGCGCGCGCATCGTACGGGCCACCTGCAAATATTTTAATATGCTCCGCCGAATGCGCGCTGGGCAACAAAAAATACCACCAAACTTTTTATTTGAGGGTTCCCAAAAAAAAGGAATATATATATTTACCATGTGGGTTCGACCGTTCTCCCGGCCCGTTCGACTTCTGATGTTTTTACGTTTCACTGGGATTTTACGTGGTTTCGCATATTGCATAAAGTAGCCAAGTTTTTAAGCGCTTCTGTTTGGCTGGTTCGCCCTTCTGTTTGTTGTTTAGCTTTAAAGCCCGCTAAATGGTTGAAATCAACCTTATGGCATATACATATATATATATGTGTGCATTATAGCTGGTTACTGAATGGCAGGTTCAGCAGGTATCATCATGCCCGGCGTCCTTATTCACACAGCTATTCAATCAATTGGAATTTCCATTTCACTGAAAATATTTGAATATTTACGCATAGCCCAAGCATTGCCAGGGGCCGTATTGGGTATAGGTTTTGGGGTCTGATTGTGGGTTCCAATTTGGGATCAGCACATTGACCAAACGTGGCGGTTTAGCCGGTTGCAAGTGACAGACATACACACACACACACACACACACGCGCACGTTCACGGCAGGTGGATATATAATAATATTGAAAATTCATTTCATTTATATGTTTGCCAAGTATTTGCCCGAAATGTGCAATGCAATTATTGTTGAGGTTTTTTCCATTGAATGCAATATGCAAATGAATTGAAACAAGTGGGAATATTGTAAGCGCGTGTGCTGGACGAACAGTTAGCCCGACTATACAAATACCCATTACTCTGCAGTGGTCGGTTTGAAAATATGTAATGTAGTATAGTTCGATAACTTGGGGATTGGTCCTGTTACCCGAAATACAAAGTATGCTGGATCTTTATAATATATTCAAGAAGTCACATACTAAGTTTGCTGGGTGTAGCTCCTATAGTTCTCGAGATCTTCAGCTTCAATTAAATACGGCCAGTCCTATTCACCTTCTTATGGGCATACCCACAGGGAATTTAAATGTTTTGTGTTGTGTATATGTAAAATATTTATGAATTTTCATAAGCGAGCACCAGCAAGCAATGCAATAAGACTAAAGTGTTTAATCAAATATTAAGTTTAATTTATTTAAAAATTCAAATTACATTGATATTTACATTTTTAGCCGGAATTCATTGAAATTGTATTGCTTTTACTGCGTTTCCTTTCGGGTTTTTGTTGAGTCTCTATTAGTTTACATAGGTCCCCTATGTTTGCCACTGCCAGTGCAGCTCTGCGGGTAACGTGTTGTAGCAAACAGCTTCTGACAACTGTTGTCAAACGCAACGCTGTGCGAAGCCAAGCAACCACTCTCTCCCTCTCTTTGTCAACCCCACTCCTGTCTCGGTATGAGTGTCAAGCTTGACATGCAGTTTGGCACCCTCTTTATGCGTCTCTGCTTTTGACAGCTTCTGACAGAGTTGAACCAAAATTCCAGCAGTTTCAGTTTCCATTTCTTACTCTGATTGTCATGTTAGTCTGGAATGTACGTGCATCAAGTATCTCTTATATTTTTCATTCTCCTTTCTTTTCCCTTATCTTATTTTTCACTGACATTTTTTTTGTTGTGTTTGCTCTTTGCAGATATAAAATCGAAGTAGCCGGCAAAAGTCTTCCTGTGCTGACGAATCTGGACAAGGGTCGCTATGGCGTCATTGTCTTTGAGAATCTGGACAAGTATCTCAACATGGACAAGTGGAATCGTGAATTGCTGGACAAGTATTGCCGCGAGTACTCCGTGGGCATTGTGGGCTTTGTCAGTCCCAGCGAGGAGACGCTTGTCGGTGCCCAGCTGCGCGACTTTCCGCTCTTCGTGCACACGAATCTGCGCCTGCGAGATGCCAGTCTGAATCCCGCTTCATCTGTGCTGCGTCTAACGCGAGCCGGCGAAACGGCGTGGGGCGCCTTGCCGGGCGATGATTGGGCTGTATTTCAGCATAATCACAGCACCTACGAGCCGGTGGAGTGGGCGCAGCGCAACACACAGGAGTATCCGGCGGACAGTGTGGGTCAGGTGCAACTGCCACTCACCACGGTGCTGCAGGATCGCGGACAACTGGATGGCATCCAGCGCGTGCTCTTCGGCAGCAGCCTGCGTTTCTGGCTACATCGTTTGGTCTTTCTGGATGCGCTCAGCTATCTCAGTCATGGTCAGCTGAGTCTCAGCCTGGAGCGCATGATCCTGGTGGACATCGATGATATCTTTGTGGGCGAGAAGAGCACACGTCTGCGCCCGGACGATGTGCGCGCTCTGATTGCCACGCAAAAGATCATTGGCGGCATGGTGCCCGGTTTCCGTTTCAATTTAGGCTTCTCCGGCAAGTATTATCATCACGGCACCAGGGAGGAGAATCTGGGCGATGATTTTCTGCTGCAGAACGTGCAGGAGTTCAATTGGTTCTCGCACATGTGGAAGCACCAGCAGCCGCATCTGTATGACAACCTCACCCTGCTCATGGCCGAGATGCAGCTGAACTATGCGTTCGCCAAAGAGCATAATATACCCACAAATTCAGGCTACTCCATATCGCCGCATCATTCGGGCGTCTATCCAGCACACGAGCTACTCTACCTCGCCTGGAAGCAGGTGTGGAATGTGAAGGTCACCTCCACGGAGGAGTATCCACATTTGCGACCCGCACGCCTGCGTCGTGGTTTCATCCATCGGAATATTATGGTGCTGCCCAGGCAGACTTGTGGCTTGTTTACCCACACCATGTACATAGATCGTTATCCGGGTGGGCGGGACAAGCTGGACGAGTCGATACAGGGCGGGGAGCTGTTCCAGACCATTGTCTACAATCCCATCAACATATTCATGACGCACATGTCCAACTATGGCTCCGATCGCCTGGCTCTCTACACATTCCAATCGGTCATCAAGTTCCTGCAGTGCTGGACCAATCTGAAGCTGGCCTCAGCACCGCCCATACAATTGGCTGAGACGTACTTCCGCCTGCATCCCGAGGAGGTCGATCCTGTGTGGGGCAATCCCTGTGACGATGCGCGTCACAAAAAGATTTGGTCCAAGACCAAAAACTGCGACTCGCTGCCCAAATTCCTGGTCATCGGGCCACAAAAAACGGGCACCACCGCCCTCTACACATTCCTCTCCATGCACGGCAGCATTGCCAGCAACATACCCAGCCCGGACACCTTCGAGGAGGTGCAGTTCTTCAATGGCAACAACTACTACAGAGGCCTGGACTGGTACATGGACTTCTTTCCTGCGGAAACGCTGCCCAACACCAGCTCCCCCATGCCCACCACACTCGGCACACCCCGTTACATGTTCGAGAAGAGCGCCACCTACTTTGACGGCGAAGCGGTGCCCAAGCGGGCACACGCCCTGCTGCCACATGCCAAAATTGTGACCATACTGATATCGCCAGCGAAGCGTGCCTACTCCTGGTATCAGCATCAGCGCGCCCATGGCGATGTTATAGCTAACAACTATAGTTTCTATCAGGTGAGCGATTTTCTGATCTAAATAAGATTGAAAGAGCCATTGTCAAATGGGCGCAGCAACAGCCTTAGACTTCTCTAGAGTACTTTAACGACGTTTAAAACTAAACCGATTCATTTGAGGCATGATATTTCATATTCTTTTTATCTCTACATATAAAACTGTCCCTGACTGACTGTTGTTCAATGCACAGCCCATACCGTAAGAGCTAGTGAAAGCTTCAGTTTCACTGTAGTTACCTTATGTATTGAAGGTGCACGTTAAGACGGGGTTTCAGCAAATTCTACTCGCATGTGTGGAAAAATCGCGAAAAACGCTTGTTTGAAACTTTTTTCTTTATGCTCCGATCGGTTTAAAACCAATTTTCAAAGATCTTTGAGCGAATTTATTTTAACCGTGCCACGGGCAAGGCCGGGATATACCTACTATTATCCTATATAGACATAGGTCGAATTTTCCCAATCCCATAACTCGGTCAAAACTCAACCGATTTTCATAAGGTTTGGCTTTTTGTTCAAGGTTTGACCTCTAGATCAACTTGGCATCTAAATCTGAAAACATAATTCTGGGTCAAAATTCATGTCGAAATGGTACCCCCAAATATCCTATAAATACATAGGTCAAAATTTCCCACCCTCATAACTCGGTCAAAACTCAACCGATTTTCATAAAGTTAGGCTTTTTCTTCACGGCTTGGCCTCTAAATCAATTGAGCATTTAAAACTGGGAACACTTTTTTTGGTCCGAATCCATGTAAAATGTTACCCTCTGAAATCCTATATAGACATGGCTCAAAATTTCCCACTCCCATAACTCGGTCAAAACTCATCCGATTTTCACGAGGTTTAGTTTTTTCTTCCCGGCTAGGCTCTTAGATTAATTTGAGATTTAAATCTGGGAACATAATTTTTGGTCGAAATTCATGCGAAAATGGTACCCACAAATATCCTATATAGACATAGGTCGAGATTTCCCTCCCTCATAGCTCAAAACTTAACCGATTTTTATAAGTATACCCGCTAGTATTATATATATTCTTTATCTGTTTGTCCGTCTATTCTAATCAAACAAGTTCCTCACTTATGAAGCTACCTTGACGATATTTGCCATTGATCCGTCTCTTATTTGCAAGCCATCGCAACCGGGTGGATCGAAGTACTACATCTTATAGTTGCCATAGGAGCTATCGGTTGATAATATAGCTTTTGTTTTATTTTTACTCTTTTAAATTATATAAAAAACGTTTTTTAGAAGATTATAATATTATATTGTACAAAGATTTTCAAGATTTCAGCAGTTTGTTAACTGTTTCCAGTTCCTCAAGTTGCATGCGCACTTTACATGCCACATGCCACCCACTATAAGATTCCTCTAACCTATTCAAAATATGCCGTATAGTCCATAAATAACTTTTCATTAAAGAAGGCCAACTGCATGGCCAGCTCTGCATTTGGCATGATTGTTTTCGGTTCATTAGTCAACGGCTGTCAGCTGCAAATGCATAGAAATCTAATGAACTATCCATCAATTCAGCATATCTCAAGCGCATGAAACGCAACCACATTCAGAGATCTTTGTGCAGTTTAAGTGCATTTCGGAACTGGTTGTCCAGCGGATACCAGTTGGGTCGCTTGATGTGGCATTCATTGCAGCTGGAGCTGGGGCAACTATTCAAAATGAAAATTCATTTGGCGCTCCACAAAATAGCTTTTCAATTTCATTTTCATACGCCCAACCCCTCCATGGAACTGGAACTGTCCGGCTTAGAAAAACAACTTGTCGGCATCACTTTTCGATTTGCATGCAGATTCCTTTGTGGCCAGCTGCAATGCCAATTGCAGCATATTTAATTGCACCTGCCACCAGAACATATGTTTTGCCCCGTCTTGCCACCATTTGCTGCAGTCTTTTTGACATGTGTTTGACCCCTGACTTTTCAAATGTCTGGACCAGAGACCATTTTATTTGGTCAGCGATTGAACTCGTGAAATCAGACTCGTTTAACTTTTTGGTCTTTGTGTTCCATAGGTCATAACTGCCAGCGATTCGGCGCCGCGTGCACTGAAGGATTTGCGGAATCGGTGCCTCAATCCGGGCAAATACGCACAGCATCTGGAGCACTGGCTGGCCTACTATCCCGCCCAGCAGGTGCATATAATCGATGGCGAGCAATTGCGCCTCAATCCCATCGATGTGATGAACGAGCTGCAGCGCTTTTTGAAAATCCAACCGCTCCTCGACTATTCCAATCACCTGCGCTACGATGTGAAGAAGGGCTTCTACTGCCAGGCTGTCAGCGAGAAGCGCAATAAATGCCTCGGCAAGTCCAAGGGGCGCCAATACCCGCAAATGGATGAGCGCAGTGCCAAGCTGTTGCAGCGGTGAGTAAAACTACCTACGAAAAAAACCTGAAACTCTACAAAAAATATGGAAACAAAAAAAAAATGTATAAAAAACGGGTCGTATGAGTGATTTGGGTTGGTTTTGGGGCGACAGACAGATGACGACGGCGACTATGCTTTGAGTGAAGGATTAATGAACACACACACACACACTCGCACACACTTATATGTGTGTGGGTGGGTGGCCATGGTAGATAGCATAGTTGTGTGAATTGTGCCGAGTTTGGGTTACAACAGGGTAGATGAAGGGGGGCAGGAGAAGGGGGGGGGGGTGAGTAGACAGGCCGGCAGGTTTCTGTATGGCATTTTGCGGCGGTGGAAAGTGCACTTTACTGTTCTACGATTTCGGATGCCAGCTGTCAGTTGAGCCGCGTGGCGTGAGCCCTTTTATATTCAGTGATTCCAGGAGCTAAACGAGGCTGCTTTTTTATTAGACATCTCACAATGAACCGAATATGGAGCATAAAATATGAAAAGCAACTCGAAGCACTTGATGCAGCAGCTTAGGCAAGTTCATTAGACTGGCTGACTGACTGATGATGTGGCAGAATACGAGATGCAGCATTCAGGCAGCAATATAAATATATATATAGCAGATATAGCCTTTCTATGGAACGTTGCAGAAAAGCAGAATCGTTGGATTGAAAATTTAGGTTAGCTTATTAAAAATTGGCTGCAATATTTCATGCACCGTATCTTTGAAAAGGCGTTAAAATAGTTTAACTCAGACAAAGAGCTCACATTGCTTACAGTTAAAAAAAAAACAAAATTTAAACGCACAAAAAAAAACGTTGCCTGACTACAATTTTGAAGCCCAATGTAATGGAAAGGATTTGCGTGGAATACACATAAATTCCGCAACTTCCAGTTGTTCTTACAAAAAAAAAAATATTTGGGCACACTTTACTTTTTTCACTTGACTTTTTTAAAAGGCAGAATAACAAACAAAGCAGCAAAGCAAACTTTTAAATCTTGAAAACGCAGCCGTCGAATTTGAATTTCTAATTTTAAGCCGCCGCATTTTAAAACTTATCTTTCTCTCGCTCTTTCTTCCTCTCCCTCGTACTGCCGGTACAGCTACTATCTGAATCACAATACGGCGCTGGAGAAGCTGTTGAAGAAGCTTGGCTCACGTCCCATACCGCAATGGCTCAAGGATGATTTGTCCACGGGCACGTGATAGCAGCTATTTGGAGGCGTGGCCATTGGCGCTGTCGAACTTGGAATTGGCTTAGGAATTGGAATCGGTGGCAACAAATACCGCAAATTGCGTGCTAAACTCAGGAAACAGTTGCACTGGCTGCAAATGGCGGCGGCAGCGGCGCCAGCAGCGACGCCTGTAACTATGCAGCATAGTCGAGCAAGCAGCGCAGCAACAGCAGCAGGCAGCGACAAAAGCAGCAGCAGAGGCGGCAGCAGCAGCGACAGCAACTGGCAGAGCCGTAAAACGAAACAAAAGCAAAAACAAAAACAAAAACAATACAATTAGCCGCTTTGAATATGCATAAATCTTGTTTATTGTTGTTGTTGCAGCTATTTAATGATGTCGCTGCAGTTGTCAGTTGTCAGAATATAAAAACAGTTAACTAGCGTGTGTCTGACTGTGTGGGTGTGTGTGCGTGTATAGGTGTGCGTAATATTATGTAAATAGTATAATAAAATGTTTGTATGCCTGTGTGTGTGTGTGTGTGTGTCTGTGCTGTCTGCGCATTGTAATCTATACCAGAAGCATCGTGAATAAATGAATAAATGCATTCATGCGCTTTGTTAGTTGTTTAAATGTTTAAAAAAAATAGAAATGACTAAAAATGTAATAAAAAAATGTATTATTAATTGCAAGAAGTATGTAAAACCCATAAAAATCACAGCCAATTTTAGCGGTAATTATGCGTCCAATTAACTCTGACTTGATTCATTTCGTTATTACCTCAAAACTGTTTATGTAAACTTTTATCAAAGACTCCGAAAACACAACACAATTGCAGAAATAACTGAATAACTATAAATATTTATGTTTTCAAAAATTTTTTATACTATTTGATTAACATTTTAATCCATGCCAAAACTGTAAAGCCTGTCTCTGCAGTTGCGAGTGCTATACATATGTTACATATATAGATATATAGTATATATAAATAAGGCTGCTATATGTTTTAAGTGTATTATAAATGTTTTTAGCGTACAAAATGCGAACGCAGCGAACGACAAGAGAAATGCTTAAAAGAAACCTTCTAGTTGTATGATTGAAGCACTAAGCAAAGCTCTATATAGTATATATATTGTATAGTTGGATATATATATATATAAACTAGTTCAAGTTTAGATTCGTAATGCGACAATAATAAAAGCGAAAATTTAAATGCAACCGCAAATATTGTATATTTTGAAAAACCGTTGGCAGCTTTCCTTGTTGAAGTAATCACCCTGTTCAGCCTGTACACACACCACGTGTGTGTCTTTAGTAAACTTTTTGGCGGTGCCACATCGGCTACTGTATAAGTTTCTATACAACGAAACCGCCAACTTAACGATAATACTCACTTAACGAATCTGATAGTTAACAGTTTGCTCTCACAGACTACTGTTAACTCCACCTTTCTGTTAAAATACAAATTGTTTATTTTATAATTAAATAAGTCTGCGCAAACTAATATTGCGAAAGGTTTCTCACCCAATATAAAATAGTTGACTTTTAAGAGATTTTCGAATTTTTGCTAGGCGAGGGTATGTCGAAAACTGTATGTGCATACCAGCCAGCGCTGATTAACACACCAGATATATCAGCTGTTGTCGAATTTTCGAACTGGCTGCTTGCGTTTGCGCCAAAAGCGTTCCGACAGCCAGATTGGATTTTAACAGCAGTCTGTTATCAAAGTTTCACGCGCGCGGTTCGGCTACGGCGTTGGCGTGTTGCATCTGCTTTCTTTAGAAATTAAGCATTATATTTAGAATTTCAATTAAATTTATAAATTTGTTGCACAACGTGCAACAAGAGCTATCGAAAAAGCCGCCGCCATCACGTGAGTTCTGTGTCGCCGCTGCCAGTGCAAAGCTCGAGTGCCAACTGCAGAGCTCATCGATGAGAAAAGGCACAGCTCAACAGCCTAATTAAATATGAATATAAAATAAAATAACGCAGTTAATATCAATAGCTAAAGCATCTTCGCTTATCGTTCGGTTTTGTGCGAAACATGTGCCGCGTCTAGTTTTCCCGTGATTAGCAAAAAAAGAAAAGAAAGAAAAAACCGGTAAATTTTTATTCTTTGCGCATTGTCTGATTCTCGTCTTTCCACCTTTTTGGCGCCGCCTTTGTTGTCGTTTCGTGTTGTTGTTGTTGCTGTTACTGTTACTGTTTTTGTGGCACTGTTGCATTTTGTTTAACATATAGAAATATAGTTTGTTCTCAATTTAATGTCAGTTTGCCTTGTGCCTTTCCCTAACAGCAAAATTTATCATTTTCATTATTTGTTTGAAATTCTCGGATAAACTCGTATAAATTTCGGTTTTGTTAAATGCCGAACCGAATTTTTTTTGCAAATTTTATAATTGACTCTTTTGGCAACTCCAAATTATACAATTTTAAACTGAGCTTTGCTATTTCGTGGTTCTAAATGATAATTAAGTGCAGCAAAACAGTTTTTGTTTAGAAGTGAAATTCCAGGCAGAGTTTACATTGACGCGTTGTAATCAGCTAAGTAAGACAACAGCAGCAACAACAACAATAACAACACCGAAACCGACGACAGCAAGGTTCTTACTCATTGCCCGGCTTGTACATCCCCCCCTCCGCCTAGCCTATGCTTTTTGCAGTGTGTCGTCTATTGTGAATCATAATTAGTGAATCGTTTTGTTGCTACTGCTGTGATCTCGCGCCAGTTCCTGTTTGGCACTAGCCCCAGTTCCAGCTCCAGCCGCCGCAGAATGTCCAAACACGGTGCCGTTATTTTGAGCAGCATTCGCCAGATCCTGCGCCGCTCCAATGTGCGTCAGTTTGAATGCTGCGGCCTGCGTCTGACGCCGGTGACCACGACTTTCGCAACGTTGGTAAGTGAAACGTCCTATAAATACGCACTTACACACACACACCCACATGCGTGTACAGCTCGTGGCGCTCCGGGGGAGCAGCTGACGGCTGCCGGCTGCCGGCGACTATCTGAATTTATAAAAATAAAATACATACACACTTGTTCTTTGACTTCGATACCGGCAGCGACAAAAGTAAAACATGCATATATGTACATATACATACATGCATATGTATATACACATACATATACACATTATACAACATGCGTGAGTTCTTAAACGCATGTGGGCACATTTTAAAAAATATTTAAATTTATGCGAAAGCAGAAACATGCAAGCAAAAACAAAATATACTTATACATACTACATCCATACATACATTCTATTATGTTTTTCTTTGCTCTTTTACTGCCTGCCTTTTCTTACATGTTTCCTTATGTTTTTGCTGTTTGCTTACTTTTTGCACACACCAAAGCCGCGTCGTCATCTTTGGTGCTCTCCCGCTCTTCGTGTCTCTTACTCTCTCGCTTTCTCTCTCTAATGTTGTCAAGAACTTCAATTAAAATTCACTCTCATTGAGTCACACAGCACATGTAATGTTAAGCTACATATGTGTTTGTATATATGTATGCATCCTGGCCTGCGTTCGTATGTGTGTTTATTGTTGCTGTGCAAGTCATGCAAAAGCATTTAATTAAAATTGAGAGCGATCGGTTTTAAAATTGTTGAACTTCCACGCACGCTTGCACTTCTCAGTGACGCCTAAACTGTGCGAACTCGTTGGAATTGTTGCTCGCGGCCTCTCTCTTATCTTCTCGAATTCAAGCATTTATTTGTGAATCATCTTGTGACCCCTAAAAGACCCTATCGGTATTTGCACATAACTGCTCCGGCTTTTGGGCATGTGACAACTTTATCAGCTGCTCGTCTCAGGTGAGACAATTAACGACCCACGCAACGAAAGGCACAGGAAAAGCAAGTGTAGAATACAATTATTTACATACACTGTCCAAAACATGTTCTTTTATGGCAAACACGATTTGCATACGAAATGATAAAATTTGACGTTATTTGTTTGAGCAGCGAGAGAAAGAGAGAGAGAGAGAGAGAGAGAGAGAGAGAGTGCACCTGAGAGCGACAGCTTTTATTTGTCTTACAAATGTAAATGGGAGCGGGAGCGGCAAATGCAAACAAAACCCAAACAAAACAAAATGTTGACAAAAAGTGTCAGCCACAGTGCTGTAAAAAAAGTTTTTATCAGCTGGGCGTTTGTGGGTCGAGGGCCGAGATGGAGGTGGTTGGTCGAACGACACCCTGCCAACGTTATTTGATACTCGGGAGAGATATAACGGCACATTATTTGCATTATAGCGTGTTATTCTTGTGCCGTGACACATGTTGTTGTTGTCGTTGTCGTTTCTGTTGTTTTTGGCACTTCATTTGCATGTGTTTTGCGCTCAGAGAAGCTGATTAGAGTCAACAAAGCCAAAGCAATACTAAAAGCAACAACATTGATTGCATCGCATACACACACACACAGACATGCGAATTTAAAAAAAAATCAGCACAGGGTGTCGCTAGATGTTTCACTGGCATCCTCATTCCGGCTGTCATAATTTAACTTCGGCACGTTCTTGGTCCACTTCTCATCCGCTCTTCCACTCACGTTTTAGTCTCTGGTCCAAATTGTAACTAAAGTTTGTTTTCTTGTTCGTTATTTTTTTCTGTATTTATGTTCGAATAGCATAAAAAAGTTTTATTGGCGCCATTCGGTCTGCCGCACAACACAAAATTTGTGTTCGAGTGAACCCCTCATACGAGAGTCGCCCCCCTGTGCCCCTCTGTAACACTGCATGGATTTTGTTCAGTGTGCGCATTGTTGCTTGTTATTGGTCCATTTATTTTCGTTTTCGTTGTCAACGGGGGGATGTTTGGGGCGTGCCAGATGCAGTTATGGCCTTGGTCAACAATTATTTTCGGCTGTGCCGTAAATAAATTTTGCTAACATAAACCAATGCAATTGATATTTGATTAAGGCAAAACTATGCACAGATTGCACTAGTGTGTGTGTGTGAGTGTGGATGTCCGGCATGTATCCTCTTGCAAAAATATACAAGTCAAGTGTAATAACAACAACAACAACAAGGCAACAAATTTATGCAAATGGCATTCAAACAACTGAACCGGTTTATTGTTTGGTATTCAGATGCACTTGGTTTTTATGTGCGCCTCACTAATGACACTCGAAAGCTATCAGATCTATAAAAGCATGCCGCACATGCCACAGAACAATAAGTTTACTTATATACTATAGAGTACAGCTAATATTAATCAGTTAATATAAGTATTAAGCTTTTGTGGAGTACAGCCGATAATTATCAACTAATATAATTATTAAGCTTTATTGTAGAGCTTTTCGTGTGTTACTTGAGATATCGAACGTGAGAGCACCAGCAAAGCTTTAGTTAAAGCCACTAGCGAAAACGTCGCTTACACGCTCACTTTAATATTACATAACACTTATATTTATATACCTCACAGATATATCGTATATAATCTTAGTTATAATATGCTCTCTATGCTCTTAGCGAGAAAGCTATCGCAGGCTGCCCTTGCAAGTAGGATGATTATGATTATAATGCTTATGAGACAGTGCCTTTTTATACCTTACACAAGTACCCATTGGAAGTTGTTAAAAGGGTATATTGTTTTTGTGAATATGTATGTCACAGGTAAAAAGAAGCATCCTCTTTCCCATAAAGAATATATATTCTTGCTCAGCATAGTCAAATAGTCGAGTCGATCTAGGCATGTCCATTAGTCTGTCCGCGGTCTATTTGTCCGTCTGTCCGTAGGTTTGAGCGCAACGCATTTCGGAGCCTAAAAATATTGCTGTCCGCGTCCACCGACTACGCAATACTCTGTCCACAGTTTGAATATAGCTAAAGACCAGCCGAAATGAGATTACTTTAATATTGAATCTATACTTCAAATTTAAAATATATTCTCTTTTAAGGAGCGTCGAAAAGTAGAACCGTATGACAGCAAGACACAATCACAATATACTCTCTTTCACTTTGTGCACAGAGTATACAAAATATTACTGTTTCTCTTTAAAAGGGAAACCAGATAAAAGTTTAGCTAGACTTCCCGTTTCTTGGTAAATTCTAATTATTGTCGCTTCCAAGTGCTTGGTATCTCGGCCTATCGCACTCTACTTTGAAAACTATTTATCTATGAGATACGCAGCTTTTTTTTAGTTGCCGTCAGACAATCGTTTGTCTGCACAAATCACGATTGGGTATTTGCAGAGCTATTATCGTCTGCTGGCATAGTTAAAGTTTGTCTTTCCTGTATTTTCTGTGTGCTTCTTAAACATTGCAGCCAGTTATTGTGGATTGACCAATTGACATTGTTGTCTGCAGTTGACTGCAACTTTTCATGATTTAGAGCAAAGCGAGATTTGGCCATTGTTTTGATCTTCAACTTTCTGTTTAATGGCTAAACTTATAGCTTAACTGTCAGCGATGGCAGTAGGGTAGAAGTTCAACCCCTTCACTTGCAACTGCTTTGGCTTAACCCGTTCACAAACAGCTAGCGCAGCAAATCTGCATATTATACAAGCTATCTAGTAGTTACCCCACCTCGAATGCTCTCCTGGGTATCCAACCAGCCTTAAACAGTTTGCTTGGCAGCTTGTGCACGTTTTCCCACATTTATCGTGAAGCGCAAATCTTGCAGCTAGCTGAAAATACAAGCCCCAAAACCAAAGGCAAATTCTGTGACAGCAGCTGCAAGTTATTTGCATATAGTATCTATGTATCTAGAAGGCGGAATATATAGATATATGTATATATCCTATATGCTGCACTTCTAATTAACGTTAACCAAACTTATCTGGCCCCCTGCATGAAGGGGCGTTATACTAAAGTTGTTCGACATTTAAAGGCTCATTAGAGCTTGTCGCTTCATCAGCAAAGTTACATTTGTTTTTAAATGTGGGTAAATATATCTGACAGATACATACGTGTCCAACTTTGACTATTTGTATATGAGTGTGTCTGGCTGTCTGTGAGTGTGTCTGCCATTTCAATTTACCTTTCGACCTATTGGTTAAGCTTAGTTTAGCTTAGTTTAGCCTTGCGTGTTATTGCTTTGCACTTGACTTTCACTGCGCTGGCAAACCCCCCAACCCCAACCACATCAAGCACCGCAAGTTGTGCGTATGTTTGTTTAAACCCCCGCATGATAGGGCACTTAGCTTGCTTGCCCCGCACTCCGACTACTATTGGCTTTGCTACTTGCTTTGTTTGACCTGCTCCTCGTCGCAAATGTTGCCCCAGCCACAGACAACCATAAAAACTAACTGCAGCTGTATGTGTATCTGATAGATACAAGCGCAGTGCTTGCTAAACTGTAAATAGTTTGCCAGTGGCTTTTTATTGTATTCGCTTCGCTGTATCAGCTGCTTCTGATAAGTCCTATCAGCACTTGCTGTCCCAATGGAACTCGTGAATTTTGTATGCTTAGCAAATGCAAATAATTTAACTTATGAATTCATCGCAATTGAATTTGCTAGCTTTGAGATTGACCAGCGCCATAAAACATTTTAATACCGTGCATAATTTATGCCCATTCACAAATGGCCCTCCATTCACAAATGGGGCCTGCCCTTTAAGCATTGCGAGCTTTGCCCCACCTTGTTGAATTTGGGATCAGATTTAAAGTCAATTTATTGGTTCGGTGCTGTTAATGCTTTGGCCAAACAAACAACCCAACAACACAAACACCCGGTCGAGTGCCACTTGAAACTGTCTCCCTAATTTATATAGCAAATATTTATATTGTAAGCGTTACGCGAGGGACTCCAAGCTTGTGTCCTTTTGCAGAGCCTTTTGCCCGAAATCTTTGCATAAAATTTCAACCATTTAAAAGGTTCTGCAAAAACCTCAAGTTAACAGCATAAAAAGACTGTTAATAATTCAGGGCGTGTCTTAGACTCCGCCTCAAATATGCTA